TACTTATGCAAAATTACTTGTAATCTTAAATTTTAAGTAATATGCATCAACAAACAGTACTTCAAACATAAAAATGATTTTTAAGAGTTTTTGTCAAWTGTTTTATAATCTAGTATAGATTAGCCAAATGCTTTATAAGATAYTATARATATGTRTGTGTATGTATATATTATGGWCTAATAAGAAAAGACCACACATTGTAATAAAATGACCAAAATAGGTCTTAAGTTAACGGGTATTTTAGATCGAAGTAAACCATATGGACCAGGAGTGTAATAAATGGAGTTTAAAGACCATAGTAGTAATTTTTAGCAAAGCACATGGACCAAAACTGTAATTTAAACTCTTAAATGTAGGTACATGTACATCCACATAGAAGCCGAGTGAGAGTTTATTCAACCACATTTCATCATGCATTTCCCCTTCCTATTTCTGTCATCTCTAATTATCATCTCTTACTTTCCACATGTGGCTACTGCTCCTTCCTCACCAAATGTTCTAACCCAAGGCTCATCACTCTTTGTTGAAAACGATGATCTTTTGGTTTCATCAAATGGCGTTTTCGCAGCAGGATTTCACCCGGTTGGTGAAAACGCTTATTGTTTCGCGATATGGTTTTCCAAACCCATGTCGGATGGCAATCTGACATTGGTTTGGATGGCAAACAGAGATAAACCCGTCAATGGAAAACGCTCCAAGTTTTCCTTGTGGAAAACCGGAAATCTTGTGCTTACAGATGCAGGTCGACATGTTTGGCGGACTGAAACTATATCTACTAATTCGCAATTGAAGCTTCTTGATTCCGGTAACCTTGTTTTAATTCAGCCAGATGATCAATCATATCTTTGGCAAAGCTTCAGTTTTCCTACAGACACCATTCTATCCAATCAGCGGTTTACCAGAGATTTGGTTCTTGTATCTTCAAGAAGTTCAACAAATTTATCTTCCGGCTTTTATAAACTTTATTTTGATGACGACAACGTAATCCGCCTTGTTTACGATAGCTATGAAATAACCAGCGTTTATTGGCCTAAACCTTGGTTACGGCCATGGGATGCGATGAGATCTACTTTCAACAATAGTAGATTCGCTTTGCTTGATTCCAAAGGCCAATTCAAGTCCACAGACAATTTAACATTCATTACCACGGACTATGGGCAGATTCATCATAGAAGAATGACACTTGATGTTGATGGCAATGTTAGAGTTTACACACTTAACAAAGGAAGTTGGACTGTTTCATGGCAAGCAATTTCAAAAATGTGTTCAATTCATGGGATATGTGGCCCAAACAGCCTTTGTACTTATAGTTTTGAATCAGGAAGGAGATGCACTTGCATGCATGGGTACAAGGCTAAGAACCATACTGATCTGTCTTTCGGGTGTGAACCAATAATCAAACTCACTGGACATCGCGAAAACTACGAGTTCATAAGACTTCCTCATGTGGAATTCTATGGATATGATTCTATTTACTTAGAAAACTCCACTTTCAAAGAATGCCATGATATCTGCTTGAATGGCTCCAACTGCAAGGCCTTCCAATTCACCTTTCGGAAGAATAACTTCGAGTGCTACATCAAGAGCTTGTTGTTCAATGGCTACTACTTGGGTGGTCCTTTTGTGACTTATCTTAAGCTATCTAAAGAACATGTCTTATCCTTTGATCAAAAGGTTGCTAATAAGACGAGCTTGAATTGCTCGAGTTCTACAATCATACTCAAACGAACATATGTGACAAAGCAAGCAAATGGGTCTCTCAAATTCATGTTGAAGTTCAGCATCATTTTTGGTGTAATTGAATCCATGTTCTTATTCGTTTTCTTCTTCTATATTAACCGAAAAGCCCCAGGTGCAACAACCCAATACCTTGCTCTCACAACCGGATCGAGAAGGTTCACATACAATGAAATAAAGAAAGCATCTAATAATTTTCGAGAAGAGATTGGACGAGGTGGTGGTGGTATTGTGTACAAAGGCATACTGCCCGACACCCGAAAGGTAGCAATTAAGCAACTCCATGAGGCTGGCCAGGGAGAAGCTGAATTTCTAGCAGAAATGAGCATAATTGGGAAGATAAATCATATGCACTTGACAGAAACATACGGTTTTTGTGCCGAAGGAAAGCATCGGATCTTGGTTTACGAGTACATGGAGAATGGCTCATTAGCTTGGAACTTGCATACCAACCAGCTTAATTGGCAGAAGAGGATTGCAATTGCAACCGGTGTTGCAAAAGGGTTAGCTTATCTCCATGAAGATTGCTTGGAATGGGTTTTACACTGTGACGTGAAACCACAAAACATATTGTTGGATGCTGATTACAATCCAAAGGTGGCTGATTTTGGCTTATCCAAGCTATTCAACCGAGGTGCAACTCAAGATTCCATCTTTTCCACCATACGAGGGACTAGAGGTTACATGGCTCCAGAATGGGTGTTTGATCTTCAAATTACCTCAAAAGTGGATGTTTATAGCTACGGGATGGTGGTGCTGGAGATGATAACTGGACGGAGTCCGACATGTGATCAAGCAAGCAATCATAGCCAAAGGGCTGAACAAAAACCACTTGTAAGTTGGGTTAGAGAGAAGGTTCAGGAGGCTAACGGAAGTTTGACAGAATCACAAATGGTGGAATTATTAGATCCTACAATGAGGGCTGAATATGAAAAGGATCAAATGGAGAATCTTCTAAAAGTGGCTGAATATGAAAAGGATCAAATGGAGAATCTTCTGAAAGTGGCTCTCCAATGTGTGCAGGAAGATAAAGACGCAAGACCAACCATGAGCCAGGTCGTGAAGATGCTTCTCCATCAACAGATACGCGATTCAGGTGAGACAAGTTGACTTTTAGAGTGCAAATGCTATTTGCACCTCTTTTGGTAACTAAACAAGATAGTAAAAAACAAAATAAAGAASGACATGACAAAACAACTGTTCAAACATTTGTTAAGATAGACGAAACATAACCTTGTTCCACTTTATTCTACATTTTTCGTGTCTGTTYCACATATAAGTCATGTAAACATAAAATAATAATTTTTATTATATTTTATCATATTATGTCCGGTGTATTACAAACATGATTAAAATCAGAATTATGTCAAGTAACAGGTTAAAAATATAAAAAGTGTATTTTTATGTATAAAATTACGATTAATCTTCCCTTTAAAAAACAGTGGCGGCTGTTGAAGGGTGAGATGGTGGGCTCTCATTATTGAATGCCGTTGCTTTCAGTAATAAATTGTAATATTGGAAAAGTCAGTTTTGACTTTAAACATTAGCCAATATTTTCGAATTTCGTCCTTACACTTTATTTATTATAAATTTGTATTTGCTCGTTCGACAATATTTTTGAATTTCGTCAGTTATGTTTTTGTACTAACTCCGTTTAAAGTAATTGTATTTTGGTCTTTACTATTTTGTCTCATTTAAAAAAAATATGATTTTAATAGTGGAAGTTTCAAATGAGAATATTAAATATGGAAAGGATTGAAACAGAATATTTATGTGTTTATAACTAAAAAAAGTTATTTAAAAAGGCATATGTGAATATATATTACATATTATTTATACGGGTTTAACATATACATTTTCAAATGGTTTTTCCATTACTAAATTTGAGAYTTTTACTCGCAGAAAATCCGTTGGAAAAGAAAATTTCTAACGGATTTTCAATGGATTTTCTGGCCGTAGAAAAACCTCCCCAGAGCAGATGTTCTTAGGCAGAATCAACGGCGAATTGAACATTAGCAGCGGATTGCGTCCGTCAAAATTCCGCCAGTAAATTTTACTAACATTTTCTGATTTGGTTGACTTAATTAAACTTAATTATTTAATTAAATCACTAATGGATTTTTGACAATGATTTTGATTAATTATTTAAATAATTAATTAGTTCACTCACGGATAATCCTCCACTAATATGTTGGTGATTTATTATGTCAAAAATTTAATTAATGAAATAATTTTTATTTATTTATTTTAAAATAAGTAAAATCATCGACGGAAGTTCACCCACTAATCCGTGCACAATTTTAGGAAAAAAAAAACAATTTTCCTCTTCTTATTATTATTATAATTTTAATTTTCTGTAAACATTAAAAATATTGCTAAAATGTAAACGACAACAACGTAAAACCAAATATCACACATTAAAAATAAATTCGACTGTTTGGGTGGAAAAATGCAAATTGTTTAGACGGAAGTACGATTGTTCGATTCATAGAAAACCAGTTAATAAACAACCAAATGATCAAAACTATGGCGGCGGTGGTGGCGGAAACCCAGGTTCCTGCGATTGGGACAACTTCTTTACTAGCTCCACCATCTCTTCATGCTGCTTGTTCTGGATCTCGTCTTGCATCCTCAACTCTCGAACTTGACTCTCTAATTCTTGAATTTACAAATAATGGAAAACGTAAACTTAGAATCTTTAATAAGTATTATAAAAATGAAATATATAACAACAAAGGAAAAGAGGTATACACCTGACCATCGAAAGATGATCCAAATCTGGAGTTTCCATATGCATTGTCGCATGACCCAGTCAAGACCATTGGGATCCTGATTGTACCCAAAGTCGAATAGTCGGCCTTTCTTACTCCTGCCAACAGCCTGCTGCCATAGATCTGTATCAACTATGGAATAGGCAATGGATCCTCCCCGTACTTTTGGGTAAGAGTCCTTTGATTTTTACTTTGTGGTTTAAAAAAAATACTACAAATGAATTTCAACAACATAACAACCGAAAATTGGACGTTTTCAACCAAAAACAATCAATAACGTTTGCCCAATAAATGAAAATATAAACTAGATAGAGATATATACAAAGATTTTAATTTAAACAATCCTAACGTTTGCCAACAAATGGTAAACTAATGTAAATGAAAATATATACGAAAATTTTAACTTAAACAATCCTAATGTTTG